TGGAACGCCGTGGGTGCATCCTGCGCTATTACTCTCATGACCTTCTCCCCGTACACGTTGTGATCTTCCGACTAGATAATCTGCGAACCAGTCACGAGCTATCCCCCTGATCCCCATATTCTCCAACTTGGCCAAAAGGATCGGAATCGAAACAGTATCGAAAGCCTTTTGGAGGTCTAAAAATACACCCATGCACTTGTATCCACCATCGAGGTATGTAGAGATTTTTCTAGTTAGCGTTAGAACTGCGTCTTCGGTTGATTTACCTTCTCTGAATCCAAATTGATTTTCACTCAGTAGATTATTAAACTCAAGATATCGCATGAGCCTCTTTTTAACCAACTTTTCCAACACCTTAGACAGAGTTGAAAGAATAGAGATAGGTCTATAATTTGTAGGACTATGGGGGTCACCCGCTTTATAAATAGAACACACAATAGCTTTTTTGAAAACTGCTGGAAAAATGCCTGTTTCAAGACTCAAATTACATATATGTGTTATAGGTTCAGCGAGGAATATTATAAATGTCTTTAGTAATTTAGCTGTGATATTATCCCAGCCAGGAGCACTGTGCGATTTGAGTCCGAGGACAATGTTCCTGACCTCCACGGGATCAGTTGGTGTAAGGGACATAGAGCCAACTGGTGGGTTAGTTTTATTTATCAATAACGCAAGTTCACGATCAGAGGTATTCATCTTCTGTAGGGTATCTTTTGCAAGTATTTCACTGACAGAGCTGAAAAATAAATTTGCTTCATTCAGCGACTGTGTAGGATGGTTGCTTATATTTAGTAAAGTATTACAAGGCCTCTTTGCGACATTTAAATTACACACTTCTTTTATTATCTTCCACGTTCCTTTTGTATTTCCTTGATTTTTCATTAATTTATTTCTATAATATTCTTTTTTTCAGATTGCCTCATAGGAGGCAAATTTGCCATAGTTGCCACGCTTGGCAAGCGGTTTGGCAGCCACAGTTTATTTAGGTATATTTTTAGTCGTTCTTAAGAAGCCGCTACTGCCTATCTCCTGATTGGTTTCTCTCTATCGCTTCTTACGACACCCATGGGATGATATGTGTTAGTGGATATTTTTACGCCGCCATTACACGGTAGGCAACTCTATTAGAAAAAAAAATTCTTTTAGTGCTTGCTGTATATAGTCGAATATTTTCTTTTGGGAACCCATTCTTTTCTATTTATTATTTTAAACTATTTTTGTCGAATATCAATATTTTTTTCAATCTGCCACAGCATCCATTGCTATGCTCGCTTGTCACCCCACTTTTTATTTTGCTGCATATTCCTGATTTGTTTCTCTTTATCGCCTCTTACGACACCCATGGGATGATATGTGTTAGTAAATATTTTCAGAATGATAGGCTTTTGGTTAATAATTAATTGTAAGGGCAAAACATCTTAACTCTGGGAAATATTTAGTTCTGGGCAGTTTTGCAGTCTTACTTTTAAGTAATTGTCTCTTTAATCGTTAGCTTTCTTCAATTCCTATCTTTTCAACCGACTTCAAAATAGGTATTCCATTCGAACGTATGTTTTTTATCTGTGTTACCTCAGAACTTTTATCAGGGTGAACCGATTTTGATGATTCTTTTTTGTCTGAAAACTGGTGCTTTTCGAGTGGTCCCGTATGATCTGACTGGTCGTTTTCGAATTATCCTTTATAACGCGTATTTATTTGACTTCAAATACATTGTTGATATTCTGATTTAATTTATATTGAATCCGGTTGTACAAAATTTTTAATTTTACTACTTGTCAAAGTCCTGTATGTTTCTTTTATTTATCAAAGATGTGTCTGTCAGCGAATCTAGTATTTCTTGCAAACTTGTAACTATTTCTTTAAATACCGTTTCTGCGATTGAAGCCTTTTTATGCTTTTGAATTTTATTTCGAGGCATTTGTGTCAGTTTAATTTACCTTGGTGTATAGTCTGTTCGCGTAGACACGATCGCTTTTGTGCCACGCCGCTTCGGCATGTGCCGCACTTTTTCAAAGGTCCGAAACGTCGGGAATTAAAAATTCCAAATTTTACGCGATAAAATTCGTTAAATTACTTAGTCTGGTCATAAGTTCTGTCGAAACCTTATTATTTAAAAAATACTTGCTAGATGAACTTCACCAATTTTAAAAATATAACGTTTGTGCTTGCCGAAAATAAAAAAGATATTAATTTTTAATCATTTTCAAATATGGAGTAGTCGAAGAAAGAAGATAGAGGCAGTCTGGATATCGAAATATAAAATTATTTTAAATTTAAAAAATTCAAATGCTACTTCAATTTTTACCGGTGAAGCTGTTGCTATTTTACAAGCAATTTTAACAAATGTATTATTTTTACCGACTCATATAGTTCATTACAAAGCATTTCATCTAACCCGTTTCGAAGTAAATCAAAATTCCTAATTATTTTTAAAATAAAAGATGCTCTGTATAGACGTTTCTGTCAAGGTATTCATTTGAAATTTGCTTGGCTGCCAAGTCATAATGGCATACGTGACAATGAAATTGTCGATTCCTTAGCAAAACAAGCATATCCTTCCGGTACCCTGATGCATCATGTAAGATATACTAATGACCTTATTTCTCTTGCGAAAATCCATCAGATGTGAGATTAGGACTCTCTTTGGAAAAAAAAGTCTATCGGTAAATATTATGCAGAACTCCAACCTGACATCCCCTCCAAACCATTGTTTTATAAATTCAGAAATGGCTCCAAACATAGTACATCTGTCATAATATGTAGAATTAGATTGGGACACACTTGTTCACCTGTATTTTTGAAAAAACTTAAGATTAAAGATACCTCAATTTGTGAGTGTGGATTAGACGAAGGTACGATCGATCAGAATTTTTTTAACTGCCCTAACCTCTCCGTTTCACTATACAATTTCCTTCCTAATAACATCCCTCGCCACATAAATCTTAAGTCTTTGTTAAATTTAGTTTACACTCCTTTTGTACAAAATTTATCAGATTTCACGTCCATTAATAACATCAAATTATAGTACTTTGACCACTTATGTCCATTTTATTATTTTATTATATTAGCAATAATTTTGTAAAACCACTATATGTTAATTCGTTTGAAAATAACTGCCTATGTAACTTCGTATCATAAAGCTAAATAAGCATTTCTACGGAAACGGAAACTAATCGAATACTCTGTGTGACTTTCATGAAACTTGACGCTGGCAGAATCCAAAGGAAGTTGTACTTTTAAACTTGATTATTTTTCAACAGCTGCTATGAAATGTGAATAGTTGTTTAAAATTCTTTTTTTATTTTGTTTAAATTAATAGCAATAATCTTATTTTTGTACAGCTTGGGGCACATTTTGGCCATCTCATTTGTAGAATTTATAGCCGTGCTGCCGTCGATAAGTACCTGGTATCTGCGAAGTTTTTTTTTTATTATTGACAATAAGAAACATTATAAAATGGTGAAATATCTTTAAAAAATAATAATAATTAATAATTTATATTTGTAACAATATTTATAATAATTAAAATTATAAAAAACATAATTTATTTATTTATAAATAATAATAATTTCTTTATTTTCTATTTTTTTTCTTTGAATGATATAATTATTTCAAACTAGCACATAGCAGGCCGCTTTTATTGAGACAACTTAGCGATCGCAGCGCCTCACTTATTTTGTCCATATTTCTGGGACACTATTTTCTACAGCGATCGTTCTACCTCCATGGTAGCTACAGTCTTAATTTTAAAGAACTTTTCAAAATCACTCTCAACGTATTTTATGGCAATTTATCATATCCCGTAGCTACTCGAGCGCTATTGTAGAAAGTTTTTGAACTGTTATTTACTGCTTACGGAGGGACACATTTTCAACTATTCTCTTAAGGGAGATTGTCCTCCTTACCTCTATACTCCATGCAGAAGACAATAAAGGTCGCTGCATACGTAACGTGTTTTATCCCGGACGGAGCGGGACGTGAAACTTTGGAAATATCGTTTCATAGAAAATGTACGTGATAATGCATACGTTACGGATGCACGGACGGAACGCGGACGTGGCATGAACGGGACGGGTGAAACATCGTCAGTGACGATGTTTAACCCGTCCGGCCGGCGCGTGTCACGTCCCGTCCGTGGTTCCGCTGCGTATGCACAGTCGCTCCGTTGGCTACGCAGTGATGCGCGTGTTGTACCGAACGAAATGTACGACGAAAAACTAATTTAATGTGTTCATGTGATCATGTTCATTGTATAATCTTGCACAAAATATTGAATAAAAAATATAAAAATTTTTAGTTAGCATAAATTTTATTTTCCATTTATGTTGTCATACGAAAATACATGTGAAATTGAGTGATTGAGAAAATAAATGTGAATTGATCTTGTCATCCAAATGTTCTTGGTAGAGAGTGTGGTATGAGTACCAGGAGTGTGGTATGATTAGAAGGTGATCCTTCTAGTCCTATTTCCCGCCACGTATGATGTACAGAAAATCTTCTTTTATTCTTGACTGTTATATCTTCTTTATCATCTGAAGCAATAGCAATTAATGCCAATTATTCAAATGAAAAATACATCTTTCACAACGCTAGTACATTATTTTCGAGTCATTGTCACGGTGCGTATGGTGCGTATGCATTAAACTCCCGTCCGTGTTGACATACAAGCACGTTCCGTTCCGTTCCGTTCCGACCTGTCTAAATTAATAAATAGTAATTCAATAATTATTCTTAGAGAAAAGTTTTTGTTAGTTTGATTAAACAAAAAAATGTTTTTGTTTAGCCTAACATGTATATTGCTATTTCTTTTAAAACAGTTCGTTTAATTTTTATATAGATATGATAATAAAATATATATCCTTGTTGGGGCTGCATACTGTATGTCCATGCTCACATAAGTTTGAAGAGTACATTAAAAAAAAGAATAATACAGATACAGTAATACAGTTATTATTTTTGTAATCTGATTCCGAAAAATAAACATTATTTCAAATTAAGTCATGTTAAAGGTAAATAAAGTATTATTAACAGTAATTATTCTTATTATGTATATGTAATGTTAACCTTTGTTATTTTCAGGATAAAGGGCAAGTCACCTTCGAAGATAAATGGCCCTCTATGAGACCTATAGTTTTGAAGCTTTTGAAACAAGAGCCGGTAACTCAAATCGAATGGCAAGATCTTTTTGGGGCAGTACATTCTGTATGCCTATGGGATGAAAGAGGTCCTTACAAATTACGAGATGCTCTACAACAAGATATAATGATGTATATTAAGCAAGCTCAGGCTCGAGTGCTTGCACAACGTGAAGATCAAGCTCTTCTTAAAGCATATATAGCGGAATGGGGAAAATTCTTCACTCAGTGTAATTATCTACCTACACCATTTCGCCAACTAGAAAATTCTATTAATAATATAAGTAAAGTAACAAGTTCAAATACATCTAATGCACAGAAAAAGAACAATAATAATAACATTGAGGATAGTTTGGTGCGCAAATTGATGTTAGATTCATGGAATCAAAGCATTTTTGTAGATATTAAACAAAGGTTACAAGACTCTGCTATGAAGCTTGTGCAGGCAGAGCGTAATGGAGAATCCTTTGACTCACAACTTGTAATTGGTGTAAGAGAATCGTATGGTAAGCATATTCTGTAATTAGTATTCATGTTAACATATTGATGTGTATTTTATTACTGTGTAGTGGTGGTGTAAAAATAACCACCACCCTATATCACCCTGTGGGTGTTGTAGAGGTGACAGTGGGGAACAAATCAGTGGATGGACAGCAGCATCTTCCTAATAACAACTAAAAGAACTAAGGTTACCAACCCGCTGGCCAAGCATGCCAACTATACTCCTCGGAGGCAATCTATAGGGGAGGCCTATGTTCAGCAGTAGCTGTTTTATTTTATTAATTTACTAGCAACCCACCTCAATTACCGGGTAGAACTATTAATGTGACTCTATATAGATTTATCAAAGACCACCACCACATTTCAACAATTTTTAGTATTTCCAAAAAAAAATCTAAATTCTTCAGATAAAAGATTGACCTAGATTGCTCCTGGATTTGCTCTCTACCTGCTTGTAATGTTTCTTTACAATCAGTTCAGATATTCTGAAGATAAGCCTGGACACACAGATAAAAACTTTTAAAATAGTTATTCATGTGTTAACAGTAAACAATTTAATATAACGCAGTTATTTCCATATTGCAGATAGAAACTACAATTTTATTTTATAAGTATGTATAAATTTCTCTTAAAATGAAGAAAATTTTATAGAAAATTCATATATTAACATTTCATTTTCATGTAAACGATACAAGTATCAGTAATTGAAATGTTTGTTCAACGTTTTTGTAAATAAAATTTTTGGAGACATTACACCTTATCAAATATCTTTTTTTCTTAAAAATATCTTAAATCTGTGAATATTATATTATATAGGTTGGTAGTTACCAACACAATTTTTCATTTAATGTAAATTTTATATTTTATTGCAATATTGGTGCACTAACATTTATACAATTTAATTGCATTTACAGTTAATTTATGCTCAAATTCAATTGATAAACTCCAAATATATAGAGAAAACTTTGAAGCAGCTTATATGCAAGCTACTGAAGAGTTTTATAAATATAAGGCTAATGAGCATTTGTTAGCAAATGGAGTACAATCCTACATGAAGTATGCTGACCAACGACTAAAAGAGGAGGAGGCTCGTGCTCACAGATATCTGGAACCAGGAAGTGGGAGTGTAGCTGCTTTAACTCAGTGTTGTGAAAAAGTTATTATTGGTGAACATCTGCCTACATTGCTGGCTGAGAGTGCACCTTTAATTAAATCCGGGGAGACAGAAAAACTACAGCTTATGTTCCGTTTGCTGGATAGAGTGCCAGAAGGAGTAACACCCATATTGAGGGATTTAGAAGCTCATATAGTGTCAGCAGGCTTGGCAGACATGGTTGCCTCTGCAGATATTATCACAACTGATTCGGAAAAGTATGTGGAGCGTTTGCTAGATTTGTTTAAAAGATTCAGTACCTTGGTGAAAGATGCATTTTTGGATGATCCTAGATTTCTTACTGCCAGAGACAAGGCATATAAGTGTGTTGTTAATGATACTACAGTTTTCAAATTAGAGTTACCATCCTCTGCTCTCATTCGTGGCAGTAAGGGTACTGCACCTGAAAGTAAGTGTCCTGAACTTCTCGCAAATTACTGTGATATGTTGTTACGAAAAACACCCTTAAGTAAACGGTTAACTAGTGAACAAATAGAGTCACGGCTTAAAGATGTTCTTTTGGTGTTGAAATATATTGAAAATAAAGATGTATTTATGAGATATCATAAAGCACATTTGACAAGAAGGTTAATATTGGACTCAAGTGCTGATTCAGAAAAGGAAGAAGACATGGTTGAGTGGTTACGTGAAGTGGGTATGCCAGCTGATTATGTAAATAAACTAGCTCGTATGTTTCAAGATATTAAAGTTAGTGAAGATCTCAATATTCAATTTAGAGGTGAGACAACACGCCATGATGCTATAAACATAAAGATACTCAATGCTGGGGCATGGGCTCGTGGCTCGGAAAGAGTAACTGTAAGTCTTCCTTTAGAATTAGAAGACTATATACCAGAGGTTGAAGAATTTTATAAAAAAAAGCACTCAGGCCGAAAATTACAGTGGTACCATCATATGAGCAATGGTACAATCACATTTGCCAATTCCGTTGGAAGGTTTGATCTGGATGTCACAACTTTTCAAATGGCTGTTTTGTTCGCTTGGAACCAAAGACCGTTAGAAAGAGTAACTTATGAGAATTTAAGACTTGCAACTGAACTACCAGACCCTGAATTGAGAAGGACATTATGGTCTCTAGTTGCTTTTCCTAAACTAAAACGGCAACTTTTGTGCTATGAGCCTGTAGTTCAAAATCCTAAGGATTTTGCAGAAAACACAGCTTTCTGGGTTAATCAAGAATTTGCACTTATAAAGAATGCTAAACCACAAAGAAGAGGAAAAATAAATTTGATTGGCAGGCTTCAACTAAGTACTGAGCGTTCTCAGTTAGAAGACAATCATTCAATTGTTCAGCTTCGTATTTTAAGAACTCAAGAAGCAATCATTAAAATATTAAAGATGAGGAAACGGATTACCAATACTGCTTTACAGGTAATGTTATTAGAATATGGTAGATTTGATATATTTTTGAAAATTTTCAAGGATATGGTTTTTTATTTCTCTGAAGTATGAGTAGTAAGTTTCAATACCTGGGTTTTTCCCATAATTGCCAACTTCGGTCGCATAACAATCTCATACTGCAAATTCCCCCTCACCATACTGGTTTTCTCTCAAACTCTTTCGCTGTTTAAGCTGCACAACTCTGGAATTTGCTTCCCTTAGAAATAAGAAAATCCACTAACAAATGGATTTTTAAAACAAAAGTAAGAGAACATTACTTAGGCTTATCTAAAACATAAATATGCATATATATATATATATATATATATATATATATATATATATATATATATATATATATTATGTGTGTATAATATATATCATATATATGCACACATATATTATATGTGTGTATATATATCATATATATAAATTCACAAAAATAAATTAATAAAGATATTAAATATAAAATATTTCCGTTTGCCTGGTAGAAAATGCCATATGGCATTAAGTCCGCCGCGCCGTTTTTACCTTTAGTACAATAAAGTGTATAAATAAATCAGCCTAAAACTATGTAGTTTATTCTTGCAATTTTTATTTTTTGATGGAATTCCCTTTTAGATAAGAATCAAAACACTTGTCAATATCACACATGTTAGATCCAATAAAACATCGTAATTTACGTAAATATGTGTATTGTGCTCCTCCTTCTTATTTTAAAAGAAAAATGGCTTTTTCTTCTTTACTTTATGGCTTTTCTTAAAAGAATTCCGCCAATGTCAAGTCAGTCAATGATTCGATTCAAGGTTGAGAAATACAAGAGGATATTACACAAAAAATAAAGTCAAAAGGAGAACTGTTGAAGTATATTTTGACTACTAGTTTTGTGTGTAGTTGAGATACCTAAAAAGGAAATGAATACCACAACATTAGTTATCAATTGTGTCTGGTGCTAGGTAGAAAAACTAATTTAATTATGTCAACCATTTTGTAAAAAACTTTACACACTGGTTGGTTGACTTAATTAACATTATTTCTTAACAATGTTACGCAAGTACCCACATTAATAATAATCTATGATATAACAACACACTCATCCACACAGCATGTTTTAAATATGTTTAGCCTTTTGTTCCTTAGATCTTAGAAATTTCCCTAGAGACTTGTTTTAAATCTGATCTTATTTTATGGTCACTATTAGAGATACAAAAAATTATTACACTGAAAAATTATTAAATTGGCACCAGCATTGGTATATTTAGTTGTAAGCTTTATGTATGTCATCATCATCATTACAGCCCTTCACAAGTCCACTGCTAAACATAGGCCTCTTCCAAGTAATGCCACACAGCACGGTCCTGAGCCACCTACATCCATCGACTTCCTGCATATCTTACCAGGTCGTCACTCCATCTAGTGAGGGGTCGCCCTACACTACGTCTTCCGGTACGAGGCTGCCACACGAGAACCTTTTTTCCCCATCGGTTATCTGTTCTTAGAGCTATATGTCCGGCCCATTGCCACTTTAGCCTACTAATCCGTTGGGCTATGTCGGTCACTCTGGTTCTACTGCGGATATCCTCATTTCTGAGTTTATTACGCATAGAAACCCCGAGCATAAACCTCTCTCCACGTATCAGATCCGTAAGTTACCACTGGCAACACACATTGGTTGTACAATCTAGTTTTCAGGTTTTGAGGTATATCTGACGAGAAGATGTGTCGTAATTTCTCGAACGCTGCCCAGCCGAGTTGAATCAGTAGATTGACCTCTCGGTCGAAGTTGGATTTACCTAGTCGGACTATTTGTCCCAGGTAAACATACTCATCAACAACTTCGAGCATAGTGCTCCCAACAACTACCGGCATAGGTGTGACATGGACATTAAACATGATCTTTGTTTTGTCCATGTTCATCTTAAGACCTATCCATGGGGAGACACCTTTAAGGTAATTGAGCATAGTGCTTAGGTCCTCCAGTGATTCTGCCATAAGGACTATATCGTCGGCAAATCGAAGGTGAGTGATTTACTCGCCATTGATGTTAATACCGTATCCTTTTCCGTCCAGTAGCTTGAAAACGTCTTCCAATGCAGTGATGAAGAGTTTCGAGGATATAACGTCGCCCTGTCTTACACCTCTTTGCAGTTGGATAGGTTTCGAACTCTGGTTCTGTACTCGGATAGCCATCGTAGCCCTACTGTACAAACACTTCAGCACTTCGATATACCGACAGTCAACTTGGCATCGCTGAAGGAACCACCGCCGTAGCATCGCCCAAATTTCGAAGGAATCAAAGGCTTTCTCATAGTCCACATACGCCATGCAAAGTGACAGATTGTACTCTTCGGTCTACTGTACAATCTGCCGCAGGGTATGTACGTGGTCTATGGTACTGAAGCCTTTTCGGAAACCGGCTTGTTCGGGAGGCTGGAAGTCGTCCAGTCTGCATGAGAGACTATTCGTAATGACTCTCGAAAACAGCACGTAGACGCGGCTCAGAAGGGAAATTGGGTCTGTAGTTCTTCAAGAGAGCATTGTCGCCTTTCTTGAAGAACAAGACCAGTGCACTTCTGCTCCACGCCTCCGGAGCAGTGCCACCATGGAGGACGGAATTGATGAGCTGAAGGACTTTAAGTACCGGTGTTACACCCGCTTTCAGAAGCTCCGCAGTAATTCCATCCTCGCCTGGGACCCTGCCGTTTTTAAGGTGCTGGAGAGCCATTCTAATCTCGCTCAGACTGACGTTCGGGATATCATTGGAACGGTATCGGTTAAGTCTTAATCGACACTATTATGTACATATATTATTATAATTGTTTTGGTTTGTTTCATTAAATTAAATATAATTAACACTAGCTTTTTACCCGCGGCTTCGCTAGCGTGGGCTTCCGTTGAGTAACATCATTAATACTGCTCCATACCAAATTCAACAAAGTTGAATCACTTGTAGAGTCGCCTCGTTGTCACGGTTGTTAGTCAAGTGATATCTTTTGAATTCTCAGAGATTATTAGACGTAGATTTTTTTTAGAATTGCATTAATATCATACGTCTAGCAACCCCTGTCACTTTTTATATCGGGCATGACTTCCGAGGTATCTTTAAAAAGGGTAAATTATCTTTGATTCAAAGTTACATTATTTACTTTGTGCTCTTCACATTTGTTCATAAATTAAGGTAATTTAATTTACCAAATAATGTCGAATTTCGTTGTCTTCTATTAATGTACGACAGAGTGTTTGTTTTCTTTTATTTATATCACTTACAATTTTCTTTACTTTATATCATTGGCCTATTGAATATTGATTGGCACTATAAAATAGTTGCTTATATTTTTACTAACCCATCAAATATAGGGATAAAAACTTACATCGGATAACTTAATACCAAAAGAAGTTAGTAAAATTATTGCTATGACAATATACACCCAATAAGTATAGTTACTAAAAAGTTTCTCTTTTAAGGACAGTTTTGTATACACAGTATCCAGTATAACAGTTTAGTTAGTTATTTTGCTAAGCGTGGCAATTATGGTAAATCATCCCGATAAAGGCTGGATATTTTAAGTTTTTGATCCTGCAAGAGTAAGTATTTAGGAGCATTATATTTAGTTTAATTAGCAGTAAAAAGATGGCGCTTATTTTAGATTAAAACTATTAAAGCCAAAACTCTCAAGTTATGTAAAGTTAAGTAGATATGTAGAATTGATCATATTATAATGAAGTTCTGGACCACTTCAAATGTCGCAATCATTTCATGACAGCCTATTATTACTGACCATCTCTCCATAGTGTAAAACAAAGTGGCTTCCCACCGTCTGTACGCTTAGATCTTTTAATCTACGCAACGAATTTTGATGAGGTTTTCATCAATAGACAGAATGATTCAAGAGGAAGGAACCGATTTTGATGAATTTTTTGTCTGTATTTAAGTGGGTCCCTGTATGGTTTAGATTTACAAGTTGGTTTAGATTTCATATCCGGTAGGTGGTGCTGTTACCGATATCCAGGAATCACCCGTGCGAAGCTGGGGTGAATCGCTAGTATCGTATAAATGTCAACTTTTGTCAAATTTATCCACAATCTACAATTGAATCTACGAAGTCAATTTTCGTTTCGCCATTATATCATACGAAAGCACCATCTAGTAATATCAGCGACAGTAGATTGATATGCGGCTGGGGTGGTCCTTGGGCTACCTCCACCTTCTGTTAAAAATTACGCTCTCGGCGCCGCTAGCGGTGAATAGTGAAACTATTATACTATATAATTAGAATATTATGAAAATTCAATGTATGGGTTTAGTTGTTAATTTATTCGAACAATTTTTATTCATCGATTTGGTCAAGCCTTATGATATGGTCAACAGAAAATGTTAAATTTCACGAAATGCCACAATTTCATGTAATGATCGAATATTCATAATAAAATCAATTTTATGATCTGGCCATGACGTATACAAAAATATCTTTAAATAAAGAGTGTAATGAGAGTTTTGCAATAATCGCAGGCAAACCAATGTTAATTATTAGTAATTCATTATTACATATTAGTAAACTAAAACCCATCTAAATTTTCATAGACTTCACTATTATCTATTTAAATTATTACTATTAAAATGAAAGAATGAAAAATTTAAAATAAATCATTGAAGTTTCAAATCATTTAAATAATATAATTATTTAAACATATAAATGTAAGTTATTTATGTTATTTAATTTGTTAGTAAATAACTGATAACTGAAGGCTAAATATACTACTTTTTACTTTTTATGACAGATGGCGCTGTTTCGGAAACGTACAATGGAGATAGTTGGCGTAGTTTCAAATTATTACATAACAGTTAAAACAAATTTTAAACTTTAATTAAAAATATTGTATTCTTTTAAAAAACACTGCGTTATTCCGCTTATAACAAAATCATACATAATAGAAAATTAACTTCTAAAGGAAAATATTTAACCCTCCTTTTTTTAATTTCCGTAATCGGATAAAAAGTAGCCTATAAGTAGCACAGGGTCACTAACTGCCTGCATACAATATTTCATGGAGATCTGTCCAGTAGTTTTTGCGTGAATCTTTAATACATACACAGACAGACAGACAGACAAAAATTCTAAAACCAGTAATTTGGCTTCAGTATTCTTTATTTAGTCCGATGGACTAGTTTTTTCTAATATTAATATTAAAATAATATTAAAATTACAGACACTACTTTTCTACAGATTTATTATATGTATGGATTAGTGACAAACAAGCTAAAAGTCCACCTGTTTATATGTTGCTACTGTAACTTATCTCCAGCCTACAAAGACTTATGTTCAGGGCCTGATTTACGAACAAGCGACTAAGGCTGGAGGAGCCTAGGGCGCAAGATCCGAGGGGGCGCTGAGTATGCCTTTGCAAGCACCACTTATTTACAGAATAAATTAGTAATAATGTAATAACCTCAATAAATAATAGAGTACATAAGTGACGTAAGCATTTTACTTCTTACTCTTTCTTTATTTTTGGTACAAAAACAAGTTAATAGATTGTAAAAATAAGTATTTTAATTATTTGGTGCCTTTCGTCTTATGTTGACAGACCGGTTGTGATTTAAAGATTTTCAATATCTTACGGTCCTTCTCTGACTCTAATTTAACTATCGTGTTTTCCCAAGGCTGTCCAAGAAAACTTCTGTCAGCCATCTTTTCCATAACTGCATAGGGAAGACGACTCACTGGTCGCAAGGGAGAAAGTTGATCATTTAAGTTATCTTTTTGCGTCCAACTCCCGATGACGGGTGTGTATGCTCCATATTCGATGTTCAGTTTACACAGCTCTCAGTGTGCAAAGCACTCCTCCCCCTGTATGTCAACAAGTCGAGTAGGCCTGATGGATCTGGATGGATCCCTCATATTGTGCTAAAGACTGGTGCTCCGGAGTTAGTACCGGTTCTAACGCGTTTTTGCCAGTACTGATCCCTAGGGGTAATCCTGAACTCATGGATGGAAAGCTTTAGTTCACTCAATTCCAAAAAAGACGACCGCTCAGACCCTTCCACCTACAGGACTATCGCCATCACCGCCTTATTCTTCATTGTAATGAAATCCATTAAAACCTGCCTGCTCATAAGCTACCTCGAGTACCACCAGCTGATTAGTGACCGCCAATGCGGTTCCATCGCCGTTACTCAGCTGGAATTTTTTAATGTATTTGACTAGATTACAGTCTAAGAGAAAGGTTTTGGCTGTTACTTTGGACATAGCAAAGGCCTTTGATGGGCTTTGGCACAAAGCGCTTTTTTCGATAATTCCTTCTTATTGGCTTCCCAAGAAATTGTGCAATTGGATCATCAGTTTTTTTTTCTCGATTTGCAGATCAAGGTCGTAGTAGACTGTACATACTCCGACTACAGGCCTATTTAATGTCAGTATTCTTAAAGGCTGCGTGTTATATGACTATATCTTCTGTAAAACAATGATATGTGGTAAATCAGTAACATTTATTTACTATGCGGACGACAAGACTGGTGATTGTTTTTACACTGGTTGTGATAATATTTCTCTGGAACACGCTTTCGAGTACGGGAACAAACTTGTGTCTGATACAAGTCACTAACGAAATGAATCTTAGAGTGCTTGAATTTTTCCTTCCCCATCACATATTATTTATTATAGTTTATGTACTTATGAAGTTTTCGATTTTTCAGAGTGAACTCGTTGAAATTTTAAAGAATATGTTCTTGCCTTCTAAAAAGATGATCAAAGAGCAGTTAGAATGGCTCATTGAACACAAGTACATGCGGCGGGACGACGAAGATATTAACACTTTTATATATATGGCCTAAAGCATTTTTAGTGTAAATGAATAAAATCAAATAAATTATTTACCCAGAATAAGGTTTTTTATTATTATTAAATTTTTACTACTGAATTGAGGAGTTGAGCACATTGGATGATTGTTACTGTACTCTCTTTTTCACTAGCCTATAACAGTCCACTACTGGGACATCTGCCTCTCGTATTATTAGGAACCTTAATATTCACGTTTGGCAAGCCAACGGGGTAAAAATATAGACTTCCGGTACTGGCGTATGGAGGTAGGTGTAGGAGAAGCCCTTCCCCTTGAGGAAAAGTGTAGTTTTTGAGTAATGTTTTTTTTTTGTAATATAACCTCACTGTTTTACAGTCAGGTTGCCGTAAACTCTCCTATGTAGTGGTAAATGAAACAATCTAATGTGAATTGTTATAATTTTCTTCGACTCAATTCGTTGTGTATGAGTCCCTTCTTCAGTCATAAATGGATTGTCTGGGTCCAAGTATTTAATTAATTTTTTATGGTTGACCTGTGTTAAAAAAGCAAAATTTATATAAATACTTGCATATCGTTAACCCTGACAAACCTACTAAATTGAAAACAAATTTAAAATCAAGTACCGGACGTCTTCGTAAGATCAATTTTAAATATTTGCGTTTCGTTATACGCAATTTTTAGTGAAATTTGAAAACGCATTCCTACATTCAAAAAATTCAAGTTTAACCCTGACAAGCCTCATTAAAGTGAAAACATAATTAAAATCAAGTACCGGACGTTTATAGCCAACTCGTTAAGGTATTTGCAGTGAGAGAACTGGAAGTCTGAGCCTTATACATATGTATAGGTATAAGGCTCAGAGTAATTACTAGCATAGAGTCTTAAAAACAGAACAAAACCTCGTCCACCTAGCTTGCTACATATTTATTTTTTCATCTAAATCTAACCGAACTCCTTATGCATATGACATCTCCTACAGGATAAAAAAGATATTTATATGAATGTCACCGTCTCCTTTACAAGGTTTACGTTTTTCTAGCTTTTTATATACCATATGTCTATGTGTTCTAGTGATGGTAGCTATAGAAAAGAACCGCCTTGTCGATATACTCGTTTTATCTATGGTTCAATAAAATTCAGCATTTTAATGAAATTTCTTAAGCTTTTCAATAAATATTAATTTAGGTTACCAACTAAAGGAAGACCTGCTACGGACGAAGTGTTCATCAATGGAACTTAAAAACGTTTGATTTAGAATCAATTTTCCTAAATTTTGTTTCAATTTGGGTGAATTTTGTAATTCAGATCGATCGTGCTATAAAGTTAAAAATATCATAAAACCCACAAAGAAAAATTTTGTTTGCCAAATTCGGTAACGCTTTTTCATCAGATTTATATTAGTTAGGTGTGAGCAAAATAACACAAAGTATAAATTCAAAAAAAATATATTTATTTGCCATTTACAAAGAAAATAAAACCAATTTAACTGTATTAAAATAACTTGTTTAAATAAATTATGTATTGTATCTTTTTTTTATAGAAGAGGGGGCAAACGCGCATGCGGCTCACCTGATGTTGAGTGACTACCGCCGCCCATGATCAACCGCAACACCAGGGGAATTGCAGGTGCGTTGCCGGCCCTTTAGAAAGGAGTAAGCTCTTTATTTGAAGGTACCCAAGTCGTATCGCTCCGGAAAATGCGCTGGTGGTAAACTATTCCACAGAGAGATCGTACGCGGAAGAAAACTCCTTTTGAAACGTACAGTGGTGGACCGCCAAGTATCCAGATGGTGTGGATGGTATCGGTACGTTTGCCGCAACTTTGGCGGCTGGGATTAATCCGAACAATTTCTCAGGGCACTCCCCATGGTATATGCGAAAGAAAATGCAAAGAGATGCAACATCTCTTCGCAACGCCAGTGAATCGAGCCGATCGGAAAGCACTCGGGCGTCGACGATTCGAGCCGCTCTGCGCTGGTTGCGGTCAAGTGGAAGGAGCGGCTGAACCTGCGCCTTGTAAAGTTGCAGGCGGTGTGCCGCCATGAAATAGTGTCCCGCTCTGCTGAGCACGCCAAGCTTTTTAGAGGCCAATTTGGCCTTCTCTTCCAAGTGACCACGAAACTGCATGTCACTTGATATGTCGACGCCGAGGATTCCGATACGGGCTGAGGCAACAAGGGGAGTGCCTTGAAACTGAGGAGATACGACAAAGCGATTCTTTTTAGTGGTAATCACGCAAACTGGGGGTTAAACTGGACTAGATTTAGTCGCCCCCAATCCGATACTCTATTCAGCAAAGACTCGACTTCAGACACAAGTTTGTCCCGGTACACGGAGACTTTTCCCCGAGAAATATTAGCACGACCGGTGTACAGAGCATCACCACTGATGTTATCCGCATAGTAATGAATGTTACGGGATTGCAACATTTCATTGATATGCAGAAGAAACAGCGTTAGCGATAGCACGCAGTCTTGTGGAACACCAGCATTAATAGGCTTGTAATCGGAGCTTGCACCGTCTACAAAGACCTTGATGCTCCGATCTCCAAGAAAGCTGGTGATCCAATAGCACAATTTCTCGGGAACCCCATAGGAAGGAAGCTTCGAAAGAAGCGCTTTGTGCCAAACCCGATCGAAGGCCTTCGCAATGTCCAAACTAAAGGCCAATGCCTCCCACTTGAACTCTACTGCCTCCGCCCATTTGTGATTTAGGTAGACCAGAAGATGACCGACCATGGCGAAAACCGTGTTGGCGATCACTAATCAGCTGGTGATCCTCAAGGTACTTCATGAGCTGGCAGTTAACAATAGACTCCATTGTTTTCGAGAACAAGGAGGTGATGGCGATAGACCGGTAGTTGACGGGTCTGAGCGGTCACCTTTTTTAGGGATCGGGTGGACGAAAGCCGTCTTCCATGATTTTGGGACTACACCTAGGGAGTAGGAGTACCGGAAAAGACGCGTTAAAACCGGTGCCAACTCTGGAGCACACGTCCTCAGTAAAATTGGAGGGATTCCGTCAGGCCCACTCGACTTGTGGATGTCCAGGGAGAGGAGTGCTTTGCGAACCGAGCGCCTTGTAAACTGCACTTTCGGCATGGAGCACTCACACCGCGTGATGGTCGGCGGCGTACTCCCCCCGTCATCGAGAGTCGAGTTGGACGCAAAGAAAGAGTCTATCAGATCGACTTTCTCCTTTGCGGTATGGGCCAGTGAGTCATCCTCCCTGCGCAGAGATGGAAAAGATGACTAACATAAATTCCCCTGGACAGCCTTGGCGAGAGACCAGTATACACGGGTTCTAGAAGGAAGGCGAACTAGTTTCTCGCCAATTCTGCCAATGTGCTCTGACTTTGCCTTGGCAATGACTCTTTTGAAGGACCTAGAGGCGGAATTATACTTCTTTTTTAGAGCGCTGGTGTTTACATCCCGGGACGCTGATGCGTCAGCCCAGGCTTGGTAGCACTCCTGCTTATGGCATGATGCTATTTTACAGGAGCGACCAAACCATGGCTGAGATTTGCCACCAATGAGTACCACAGAGGAAGGAATAAAAAGTTCCATACCCTGAAGTACCACATCAGTGACAGAATCCGCAACCACATTGGATAGGATGATAGGATAGGATGCAAAGAAAGACCGCATCCCATCCCAATCGGCTGACCTATAGTGCCAAACACGGCGGCAGCCTGCAGAATGCAACTGCGATTTCGGCGTGAGTGGCACCACGCGGACAAGATAATGGTCCGAGGAGCCTAAAGGGGCATCGACGGAAATCTGATATCCGTCCGGGTGAGAGGTCAGCAGAAGGTCCAACAGGGAAGGTGCATGATCCTCCACATCTGGAATCCGCGTATATCTTATATCTATTTATTACTCATTTAATTTAGTATAACCTTTATACCTGACACAGTTTCTCAAATCGTCCAGGATTAACTGGTAGAGAATGCCATAAGACAATAAGTCAGCATAAGTCAAAGGTTTGGTCCACGTACTTGCAAACCTTTTTCGGACATAAACTGAATCAAAAGTGTTTATTACGCTAGTAGTATTTATTCTCCCTGTTATAATACGCATCAACAAATTAAAAGAATTCAGGCGAAGTTTATAAGGCATTTGAATTATAGCATTCACCCGTATATATAAATTATACTTACTATATTATATGTTCTTAGAAAATAGACGTAAGATATGATGATGTTATATCGTCCAAAATAAGTATTTTCGCGTTTTCTAAATATTCGTTGTCTAGTATATCTTGCAATTTATCATTTAAGGTTATGTTTTTCTTTTTAAGCCTATACGATCTTTGCTGGAGAGATTTGATTTTCAGTAGACGTTTTCTCGATAGCTTCTGAGCTTTAACTAATTTTTGTTCCCACTTATGTATACGTAAATTATTTAAGGCGTAATTTGAATTTGTAGATGAAGCTAAAATTGTCACTTATGTTTATTGGTTCTGGTTCTAAATTGTTAATATCGGTATGAAGTTTAGAAAATACCTGTTAAGTAATAATTGCAAACTTATTTTTTCAGCCAGTTATTTTAAAAGGGCTTACACTATTCTCACGTTCAATCAATTTGTCACTTCCTGTGGGGGGGTGGGGGGCGAACTATCCATAATCTCCTCTGGTTCCTAAAACATCAAACGTATTTGGAGTTTCGAAACGGATGTTATGATATTATTATTAAAAATGCTATTGGCATGTTGGTATCCCATTGACTGTACGCTTTTTTGACATAATTATATTAAATGATATGTAATTAAAATTAAACATAATTAAATGTATAAATAATAAGATGTATAAAGTAGGTATTGTATTTTATTACAGCCTTCGCCATTTCCCTTCGTTAATAAAACAATATTTGGAAAAGTGTTTTTAGCAAATGCGGCTATTCTTTGTCAATGGATTTGTGACAGTAGAATTACTCTCAAACAGTTTTTCTCCAATTCTTTATCATTTTTAAGCATACTAAAACAACTATAAAGAAACAAATATAAAGAAGAATGTCGATAAGACGTTGTCGACTT